CACACACACACACACACACACACACACACACACACACTTATGTATTAGTGATGATTACAGAGTTGTAGTGCTACGACAGCGAACAATCAGTGGAGCGTGAACGCTCACTTCCCTCCACCCCCAGAGTTCCCTCTGCAGCCAGCTAGCCTCACTGGGGTTAAGTCACKATGTGTTCGTGCCTGTGTGTACATTTAACGACAAGATGAAACGAGGTGCTACACAGGGGTTTATTTTGTAAAAAGGAAAACAATATTTTGTATGTGGAGTTGACAATCTTGTATGCACTATAAATCCTTGCATTTTGAAAAGTAGATCATTTTCAACATTTGTAGGAACTAAAAAAAATGCAGGTGATGCTAATCTGAAAATGACAGACTAAGCTCAACTTTAGCTACTGAGGATGCTTTTATCTGATCATTCAGTTTTGTTCACTCATCTGTAGTTGGGTTAAATGGGTGGCAGGTCCATAGAGAAAACCCAGACATCCTCCTCCTGAGGTTGTAGCCCTCCAATTAAAGGCCTCCACATACTCATCCAAACTGTTGAAATCTGCTCTCATCGCTGCAGTTGCATGGCAAAAATTGTGTCTTTTTGTTCACAGCTGCGTGTCGTCCACCCCTTCTTGTCACAACCTGCTGAGAGAATTTTTCACCCCCCTCCACATGAGAACTAAACTGGTCAAGAAGTTGGTCTGAAGTTTGTGGGCGTGTTTGTTTATGCTGAAAGCCTCAGATGATGCGTTTCGCTTCAACTACTCACTTCCAGAATCTGACTGTTGCTACTGAAAGCAGACATTTATGAAGGGCATCAAATGGACAAAAACTCAAAACAGATGTTGTTCACAGAGGAATCTGTTTGCCAAAAACTGTGGAGCTTTAACCAGGATAGATTTGTGGACAAAATAATGACAGAAACCAGAGTGTGTTTGTTTKTTTTTTTCTGAGTGTGGACTCCAGGGTCAGACCTGCTGGAGAATTTGAACACAGCTTTTGTTTTAACTCTTTACCTTTCTCATGATCCTCCTCACCTATGGGGGAGCTCCAGATCTTGTCCCTGATGTCCTGCCGAAGATGGTTTTAGTTGTTTTTCTGTCTCTCTCAGTTAAAATGAAAGTACCATCAAAACGTGGAGACTTATGAACATCAGCTTCAACCTGTAATGTGTTCATATTTTATAGTTACCAATGTAGACATAAGCTGTTGCTTCATATTGTTGTGTTGGAGAAACACAGTGTCTTCAACATCACTTCATTCTGCAGCAAAGAGCAGCCACACTCTCACAAATACAAAAACATGTACATATATACTTTTTCACAGCTGGTTTTAATGTTGTGGCACTTTTATATTTCAGGTATTTAAGTTAACCTTAGAGACTGTATATGATAATTTCCTTTTAAAAGAAATAAAATATAAATATACAATTTTTTTTGTCAAAATGAGCACAAGTGGGCAGGACTTTTATGTATATTCACATTTAATTAAATATTATTAGCAAATATGACACAATAAACTAAACCTAATAGATTTATGGGTTAGAGAATGAAACTGAAACACCTGTCATTTTAGTGTGGGAGGTTTCATGGCTAAACTGGACCAGCCTGGTGGCCAATCTTCATTAATTGCACATTGCACCAGTAAGAGCAGAGAGTGAAGGTTCARTTAGCAGGGTAAGAGCACAGTTTTGCTCAAAATATTGCAATGCACACAACATTATGTGTGACATACCAGAGTTCAAAAGAGGACAAATTGTTGGTGCATGTCTTACTGGAGCATCTGTGACCAAGACAGCAAGTCTTTGTGATGAATGAAGAGTATCCAGGGTAATGTCAGCACACCACCAAGAAGGACCAACCACATCCAACACGATTAACTGTGGACGCAAGAGGAAGCTGTCTGAAAGGGATGTTATGGACTAAAACCAAGTGTTTCAGTTTCATTGTCTAACCCCTGTATATATTTACACACACACTTATTTATGTACACACAAACCTAATAGTAGTAGTAATAAATCACTGAAATACCACTTTTGTAATATGTAGTGATGCATAAGCCCTGTACATTTAATCTGCCCTAAAACAATAGCACTCATAAAAGAAAATGGACAGGAGAATGCAATAAAAGCCCACAAAACAAATGTATATTAATGATGCGGCTCAGAGAAAAGAAACGTTTTCAGTTGGCTGCTGAATGCAGACACAATTGATCTTGTTTAGCAGAAACCTTGGATCCAATAGAAGGACCACTGAAACTGAAAGCAGCCTCAGCAGACGTGGATCGAATTCCAAGAACACTTCCCTGAATCTATTGACCTGACAATAAACCCTGCCCATTTTACACCCAATATTATCATTCCCAGGAGCCATAAACCTGCAGTTTTTCATCTTAAAAATGTTTTCCAGCAAACACGTGTCAACATCCTGGGGGAAAAAGGCAAACTTTGGATCAAATATGGGAATGGTTTTATGTTATTAACAGAAGTAAAATAAGATTAATTTAACAGAAGAGCTCATAAATCATTAGATCTCTTAAAACTAAACTTCACTGCAACAGTGTCGAGTGAGGCTGCTTGTTTCTGAGCAGGTTGTGTGTGTGTGTCTGTGTGGCCTTGTTTTTCCTACATCATGGGGACAATTTTCCCGAAAAAGCAGCCTTGTGGGGACCAATGCCCAAATGGGACCAATGGGTCCAAATGCAAGTTATGGGTGGGGGGTTAGGTTTAGGACCAAGGTGTCAATTGAGTTTAGGTTAATTTTAGGGTAAGTGGTCAGGGTTAGGCTGTAAAATTTCCAAAACATGAATGGAAGTCAATGTGCGGTCCCCATGGGGATATGCAAACCAGACCTGTTTGTATATGTGTGTGTGCGTGCATGCGTGTGTGTGTGTGTGTGTGTGTGTGTGTGTGTGTGTGTGTGTGTGTGTGTGTGTGTGTGTG